CATGACCTGCTTGCCAAACCTCAGTTTTTCACCTCGTCCTTACACCTCACCAGGAGAGTGAACGTTGGCAGAATAACCAAGCGTTTAGCATTTAGCTTCTAAAAATAAAACAAAATCACACAACAAAGCAGCGACACAAGGGAGCAATGTACCGAGGCTGCTCTTTTTGGCGCCATCTGGGATCAATTATACACGTTCATGAGGTAATGGGAGGAGGGGACGGCAGCAACGACAGGAAGGCACAAATGACATTGCTGACAGCAGCTTTATCACCAGCAGCTTTATCATCATCACTTTGCCTGTGTAATCACTTTGAGGACATTAGTCTCAGAGCCAATGTCACCCAGAGCCAGCATTTTTTTTTTTTTTTGATGGACAAAACACTTTTCGCTGTGGCAACTTGTTGGCGGAGCAGTTTGCAGTGAATGAATACCGAAATAATTTTGAATTGTGATTCCCCTAGTGTACAGTTTAAAAAACCAAACAAAATCAAACATCCATGTGAGTGAGAATGAACGGTGCAATAGCTTTAAAAATACCACGAAATACAATATTTTGAAAGACGTGTCGTTTGAATATTGTTTAGATGAACTTGGATTTGTCTTCAGACTAGAGAAAAAAGTGAAACACTACAGCCTGGGGATGTTTCTGCAACTTTAATGAACTCGTCCCCCGCAGTGCTGCTTGTTTCATTAATGGTGAGGAGAGCGTGTATTGTCTCTGTATGAAAAGGAATAGTTTGAGAAGTTAAAACTGCTCTTGAATAAATAACATTTGCAGCTTCCTGCGTCTTTCCTCCACACTTCTCACTGTTGGCTTCCCATTTGCTGAATTTATTTATTTTTACAGAATATTAAACATGGCACGATTCAACGCCGTCAGTGACCTCCATGTCAGACTGGCCAAAAGAGACAGCATTATCAGAGACATTTTTAAGATGCGGCTTTGCATGACATTTTCACAAATAGTCTCAAACTCATGCATCATTTTTCTGGTATTTGCCCACAGGTTTCCCTGATTACATTGATTTTATGAAGCAGAAGTGAAGGAGCCATCGTTCTCTTGTTTTATAAATAACATGCTATTGATTTCTTAAAGCAGGGATTTAAATGGTGTCATCGTTTGTATCTTACTTTCACGGCAGTTTTGCAACCACGTAAATCAATATCTGCCACAGCGTGGTTCAACATCAAGTCTGTGCTGAACGTCACTTTAAACATCAGTGCTTAAGGTTAGATAAGAGTGAGGAACATCCTGAGAATATTGCTGTCATCTTCAGAGGACATCACAAAAAACACCCTCCACACTAACAGGTTTATTGCATTTCACTTTTTATATAGTGAAATATCTGTTTCTTTTGTGGTTAACACTCAGAATGATGTTCATATTTTTATTTATGTTCAAACAAGAGACTGTTCTGAAGACTGAAGAGGGAAAAATGAGACCACTTAAAAATATAGGCATCAGTCTGCTAGCTTGTTTCACACCAAGGTTCTCGTTAGAAGTAGATTAGATTGAATTAGATTAGATTAGACTTTATTGATCCGACACAGCCTAAATTGGCATGTTGCAGCAACAAAAAGGACAAAGAATGACACAAAGATGAGAAAAAGCAACAAAAAAAAAGCAATTAAAACAGAATGAAGTTCACAGTGCTGAGATGGAACAGAACATTAAAAAAACTAAACAAAAACAAGAAATCCTTCAGATTCTCTCTCAGACCTAAGTGGAGGATATGTAGAAAATTGACTTAAAATGTGATGTCACGTTTACATTTAATACTTCAAATCTGTTAAAATACTGTATAATTTACGGTATGTTAAATTAATCAATAAATAATCAATCAATGTATTACCCTAAGACAAAATTTTAATACTTATACACTAGTATACAAACTTGAAAGAATTTGTTTTCTGATGGGGGAGAGCCCATGGTTTAGATGTTAAAGGATTTTGATTGGACGTTTAAGGTGCAAATCCCAGCCTGGGCAGGACTGTGGTTGGTGGCAAGTACCAGACCTCGAGGCAAATTACCAATCATAATCCCAAGGGTGTTTTTCACAGTTGGATTAAATGGTTAGAGTGATTTCCCATATGACATTAATAATGTATTCAAATGTAATAATATTTGTAGTAATTTGGCTATGAATCTTACATAAATGTTACTATTTAAATCAGCACACATACTGTACTGTAATACAAACTATAGCTTAGCGTAAACTGCTGATTACTCACACCTGAAAACAGAAACTGGACTTGAACTCAAACTCGCTCGCTGGGAGCTCAACTACTGCACTGTTGACAGCGACACTGTCAATGTCAGGTCCAGTACTGAAGTGCCAGGGAGGAGGCCACTTAGAAAAACTTCATTACACCTAGAAATGTGCAGCAGTTTGTTGACTGGAGTCTCTTTCAACAGAAAAGATCAAGAGAATAACGGCTGCCTGTTTTGAGGCCGGTCTGCAAAGTCAGTGAATACAAAGCAGTAAAATGTGTTGCATCAGTTAAATTAAAAAAACTATTCCACCTGTCACCTGGAATAAGTGGAAAAAGAGCATCCATTTCAGGTTGTTTTGGTTTTTTTATCATTACCAAACAAGTATCAAGTTACCATTATCAAGTATCAGTATTCAGTTCACTTCAATGAGACTTTATAGAACAGTTTCTGGCTGTTAACGATGGGACAAATATAGCCCTGTCATGCTGTCTGTCAGGCAGAGGTGTGAGATATGTGTCAAAGCACATGCTCCAAAGTTGATCTCAGAGGGCAAGAGACTGGTATAAATATCTGCCGTTTCAATTATTCACACTCATCCTGGTCAAATGAAGACGGTTCTGTCGTTACTGCAGCAAACACTGATGATCAGGAATAAATAATTCTGCCAAAAAACATTTCACAATTCCATTTTCTACTTCATTTCTTTAACCTTTGCATTTTCGAGTTTTATTTCCTTCTCTGTTGTAAACAACAGACTCATCATCACAAGAAGTGTCATTGTACGGAGAAATAACAAACAATCATTCCACGCGGTGTCACAATACAACATGCTACAGTGGGAAAAAATTACACCCTATGATCAGTGGAAAGTAGCAGCTGGAGACAGGTGTTCATATGTGGTTTGACCAAAATGGAAACAAAAGACTAAGTGAAAAAAAAGTCAAGCTGTTATGAACAGATGTGTGATTGTTAAGTGAGAATGTCAGACTGCAATCTTCTGTGCAGCTTCATCGGTGAAAACAAACTTTTTTCAGAGTTGGAATTAAAGACCTGCAATCGCTCAGATAGCTGTTGTGATCAATTGAATATAAAAAAAGTATATCAGTGCAGATATTAGGACACGGACAGAAAAAGTCCATTTGAGTGCCACGTCGTGCAAAGTGATTTTTCTCCTGACCTCTGATTGGCTTATGCTGATATTTTATCATCAACCTAATAAATAATCATAATCACTTTATAAAATGGGTGATCACGCTAATGTGCGCAGAAGGAGCATTTACACAAGAACACACAGAGTTGCCCATAATTAGTAACAGGCAAACTGAGAGGAAAACATGAGCAGCTACAGGATCAGAAGATGAAACTGTCACAAAGCCAAGAGGAAAAAAGTGACTTGAGATAAAAGTGTCTTGCTGGGAGCTGATAGAACAACTGACTGCTGTGTTCTCTCCATTAGTAAAAGCCATAAAAGGAATGTATGGAGAGCAACATGATGCTGGATGTTTGTGTCTGTAATGTCAAATAATTAAATCACAGGGGTAAAGTTGCTGTTGTAAGAAAAAAAGAAAAAAATTCTGGGACCTGAATCCTAAACTGTGCTTCTACACTGCACACATCTTTCTAATCAATTTCCTCACTCACATATACAATTAGGAATTATGGGAACTCGACAGGCTGAGAATACTATCCACTGAAGTACCTGCAGTGCAGTAAGCAAGATGTCAAATTTTTATTTCCTCCTATAACACCGCAACAAAATCTGGTAACAGATGTCCTCCATAAATTTCTCACCCTGGTATTCGTGCACCTCCACTGTATATACATCCCGGCTGCATTTCTTCTTGCTCTGGTTCCAGTTTTATGATCTACAGTAAAACCAACCTTGTTTGTCTGTGTGCGAGTGCTGACATCCTCCTCATGCCATTCCCTGCATATTTTTGCAAGGTGAATGATCCCATGAAGTAGTGCTACATTTCTCCTCATTAGCACCAAAACTAACGGCAGCGTGAGCACAGAAACTCACCAACTGTACAGCATCTCACATTATCTATATATCTCAATAAATAGCACGAAACAACAAAAAAAAACATTAATTAAAAGTTAAGGAAAAATATTAGAGGTTTTGTATTTTGCAAAGTGGGAGTTAATACAGAAACAGATTAAATCTAGAGATAGTAAAACTAACAAAATTATAATTGAAATTGTTAACCATATTAATCATCATGCTGTTTTAATCAAAATTTAAACATTTGTTTGAAATCACATAGAACCTCCTCCCCCAATTAGCATCCTTAGCGCACCACCATCCTTTGCTTCAGTCTTCGATGCCGCCGCCTGCTATGGCTCTCAGGCCCCACGACAAGATTTCCTCGTGTATGAGGAACATCCAGCTAATCCATCTCCTCATGCCTGGGCTTCCCTTCAGAATATGTGGAGGTTTAAAGAGTCGATTGCTCACTCCTACAAGAGCCATCCTCCGAGGACTTAATGCTAAATTAGACAAATTCAGACAGATCCGTTTTTGATGTATGTGCTGCACACTGTAGCCTAACACATCTCTCCTGGAAAAAGAAGTTGTCGCCGCGTTCATTAAAATGCATGGACTTCTCTACATTAATCTTATACCATTTCTCTCTTAGTTTCACTGTGCACAGCCTCAAAAGCCATTTCAGCATGTGCTTTGAATATGTACATAAAGTAAAATGGGATTCAGCGAGGGCTGCAGAGAAGGATGAAATGTCATATTCTACTGTAACGTATCACTTATTTCCTTTGTGCTGCAGCGGAGACAGATCCAGGATGGACTGGATGAAGCATTCAGATAAAAATCAAAGAATGAAGCTCCATTTCAAAACACCATCCCCCCAGGCAATATTCAGACCGAGTAAAAGAGCTGTTTGTAACTGCGGCGAAGGGAAGGGAGCTGTTTGCACTGAGAGAGCGGCGTCCTTGAGCTGGAGGCTGGATTACAGCCCTTCTTGCTTGATAACCACATGGACACCACACTGCTGTGTTAGACACTTGTCTTTGGAAAATATTAAGATGTCAGATTAAAAAAAAAAAAAAACAACTCCTGAAATAAACAATAATTTTCATTACACCTTAGCCGTTTAAATTCCAGAAAACCAAATATATGTGATTGTTGACATTAATCTTTTGTGGATGTTAATTATTTTACCTCTAGTTAATTATTAAAGCATTGTTTTACTTTTTGCATATAAATTAGTTTCCAAATTTCCAAGAATTCTATAGTCAACCTTTGGAGAACATGACACGTGTCATCAGCTTGTCTTAACTAAATAGATTCCTAACTTCACTCCAGACAGAATTATATTTTAATACTAGTAAAGAACTTCTTCCTAAATACCAAGGTTAATATTACTGTACTACATGCCTTGATGTAGATGTAGTGCCACCAGGCCTGCAGATCCACCAGGCTCCAAAATCAGGTTGGGTTGTATCAACATCAAAATAATCCCAAAACAATTCTGGTGTGAATCTTGATTTAAACCTGTGGAGTATACCAAAATCCACCAACTCAGGAGGGCTTTTACACTTGCAAATATTTGGGCATGAAAATAATTGGGAACCAACACTACTTTAGTGTTTAGTGTTCAGGTTCACGTCAGATGTAACTATGAAAGTTAACCACCACATCACATGTCATCATGTATCACTCAGGACAGAATAAAGTACTTCCTGTTCTGTATGGACGTCTCTTAAAACGTGACAGCAAAAGAAAACAAACATAGATGAAGAATGAAACCACTTTTAGTTCTACAGCAGAGTTGAGACCCTGGTGGAATCTGAGTTACTGCAGGCTGGAAATCTCTGACTCCAGCTCTTTGTGGATCATCTGAACCTCACAGCTTTCCTTTACCAAAGCTCCACTTTGCCACGAATTAGGCTCTAATGCCACTCCTCTGTCTATTGATTTGTTAAGCGTGCATTTCCTGTCCTGCTTTGATGTCATTGTGGTGTCAGTGTATGGAAGATTCCGGATAAAATTATAGTGGGTTTTAGCTTTTAAGCTTATTATTTCAGGGGATTATTCAGTCGCAGTTGAATTACCATTTTTATTCTCTTTTTTTGGGCCACAAATTGGATTATTCTACTCTATTCTACTCTTTGCTACAGAGGCGATATCAAATATCCATCACTGATAGGCTGTTGCCATGAAAACTCACTAAAGCGGTGCAGACCGGTGCCGATGGGGTCATGAGAGAGTTATGTGTGGAGGTTTTACCAGCTTGGCCAACAAGATCTGCAGCATAGAGCAGAACAAAATGATGGTCCTTAGAGTCTGGGATCTGAGCGAAATAAAGCACAGTGACCAAATGTAGCACAAAGACATTATGCATTACAGCAGAATATTTACAAAGGCGGTAATTCTGCTGCTTTGTGTGTTCAATATTCCCGAGCTGGGCCATTATTATTACTTATGAAAAAAACACAGAACGTCCTGCTGTTTGCCATTATTATTACTTATTGTCTGAAAAAAACACAGAACGTCCTGCTGTTTAGGCGCACTGCTTGTCAAATTAGGGGTAAAAAATGAATTGTAGTTACTTTTGACCTGCAGAGACCCCTTCACAGTTATGCTGGCAGGGAGCTGAAACTTTAAAGAGTAAAAAAAAACACAGCGCCTGCCTTCAACAAACTGGATGTGGTCCACTAGTCCCACCACAGAGCTCAATACGCTCTGCATAAGAATTGAGTGAGCAACAGCGCAAAGCACAGAAAAATACAATTCAAACAAAAGGCAGATTAATGGCCAGGATAATCACAGCCCAGAGAATTGTCTCTGTTTGTGTTTGTATTTTCTAACTCAACAATATCTGCCCAGAAAACAACTTTTCTCAGAATGGCACACCTGACTGTGAGCAGCAGCTGGGCCACCTTACTCATACGGTTCTTGTGTTAAAGCTGCATTTCTCAAAGTGTGGAATTTCATCCAAAAATAGGCCACAAACCAGAAACTGGTGGTTTAGATTTTATCAAGTTCCTCAGCAGATTTTCCAGCTCATTTCATTATGGAAACCTATTTGAATTGTACATTGGTGCCATTATCTAACCAGCCAATCAGATGGCCTTAAAACATTTCAGCACCTCAGTCTGACTTTATATATATATAATATTCTTAAATAGTATATATAGAAAACAAATTAAAAAAGATTCTTAGGTTTGGCAGAAATTAAACAGGTGAAAGCCAAATTTTACTGTGGTTTGTTTTTAGTTTTAGTTTAGTTTTTTTTTTTTTTTTAAAGACAAAATCTATTTTAAAAAAATAACTGGGAGTGGGTTCACCAATAATCTCCAAGAAAAATCATTTAAGAGGCAATGATCAGCTGTAAGAAAATTAAAAATTGTAAATTGTATTCCTTTTACCTTAAAAAAAAGAAATATATATAGAGACATAGATATATATAATTACACCTTTGCAAAAGCTCATTATCTCCTTTTATAAACACATGATATTGAGTACAGTCAATGATACGTCTTCAGAAATAAATTAAAAAAACAACCTTCTGCTTAGTTAACACAGTTGGTTGGACAGAAAGTGAGCGGAGCTTTAACACCAATAACGTACTTCAATTCAAAACACATCCTTCTGCTTTGAATTAAACAGTCACTGATGCTGTACTTCCATGTTTTAATTTAACAAGTGAACAAAAGCAATGTTGGTTAAATAAGTCTCACCAGAAAAGTGACTTGTTGAGGGTGTAGACTCCTCATCTGTCCGCTGTGAGATAGACTACCTGCATTTTCAACTCTTTGGCGCCTCTTCAGTTGTTGTGTTGTACTGTGTGTGAACCTGTTGAACCTTTGTCTTAATTCCTGATGTTAAAATGCCTCCAAACTGCTGACGTTGTTGACCTCTGACCTCTGATTGAACACATAATTAGCCTGCCTCTGCATGGTTCCTGCTAAGCCATTTTCACTCTTTAATAAATAAGAGATGTTCTTTTTAAAAAAAAGGCTGTGGTTCTTCTGCCTTCCTCAGTGCAGCCGTGCTTCCTCTGAATGCCTGTCACGCTCTTGTTATTGAGAAAAGTGGAATCTGGTGTCGGAATCAACAGTGGGTATAATAGTGGTATGTCTGAACTATCCAGGACCCTAACTTCAATTTAAGAAATCAATAAGCTGCCGTGGATGTGTTACAGCCTGGCAGTAAGCACATTTCCCTTCATTAGAGAAACAGAACGCACCATTACTGGTATCAAACATAAAATACTCTTCGTCCTCCTGCAAAGTGCGTCAGGTGATGTACAACTGTAGTACAGTGTGACGTACCTGTTGTTCCTGCGACTATTGAGATTAGAGGTTGATCATAAAAGAGCCATTACACCGTCTTACAGCAAAGACACACGGGCCTTTACATAATGTTCCTTTTATACTTTGAAAACTGCTGAATAATTGATATGCGGAACAATCACATACAATACTTCATTATTTTGGGTCTCCGAAAATAGAATACAATTATTTGGGGGAAACTTTGGAATCCATGACGATATATTCTCCTGTAAAACAGGAAATTATGAAACAATTTAATCTGGGTCAGGAGAAGTGCTGACATATTGTTAAAAAAAATGTTGAATCATTAGGGAATATCGGAGCTGTATTTGAGCCGAGCTTGATTTATAAAAAAAATAAATAAAAATCACTTGAATTGAATATTATAGTATCCTAGTGTATCTGTAGTGTATTGTTTACCTACCTACGCTGCCTTTTAACCTGCTCAGCTGCTACTGTATGGCCTTCCCTGTAATCACTGTAATTTACTGAGGGAGAAAAAAAACAATGCATCTTATATTGCACTTGTGCAATACAGTCATGGTTATGACTGTAAATACACCTAGATGCAGCTTATATTACGTCCACAGATGGCTTTAGCTATTTTAACACTGCCACTTCCAGCAGGTGGAGCCCATTAGAAAGCCTATGTGGCCCATACCCAGAGTTGACCTACTGTGTCATTGTTGCAGAAATCAGCTGTTATGGTGCTGTACACCCCCAGTAATTGTTGAAAATAAAAAAAATAACATTCCATTTACTGTAGATTGAAACTTTATACTGACCCGCTCACCCAAGTAACCCACTGTGTTATGAGGCCAAGCCAACCTCCTACGTTTCTTCTCCTCATCATTTGGTTTTATAGGCGACTGCATACATTCAGATTTATTACTGCCACCGACTAAATTGATTCAATGAGGGTAAATATTTTTAAACCAAAGCATTACTATTGTTGTTGCCAAAGACAGTGAAAATAAAAAGAAAGGAGTGTAGCATCCCTGCTGATGCGAAACACCATAAACCGCCAGCACCTCATTAAAAAACAGAGAGAATTTATTTATAGGATTTAATGCTTTTTATGTTAGTAAACTTTTGGGTACTACTCCTGTAATTCAATGTTTTGAGGGTTTTTTTATAACAAAAGTTTGATTTAAAAAAGGCAAAAATGGAGGAAAGGAAAATGTAATCAAATGGAATTGTGATTTGCGACCTTGTCATCACTTGCTAAACAATATTACAATTTGGGTGTAGCAGTTAGCAGCTTGGCTGAGACATTATTATGGTCTGTTAAAAATCAACAGATAACACCAGTAGGGACACAGTTAGACATGGTTCTGATTTGCCTGCTGTCATCATATAAGTGAGCCTCCTTTCATGACCAGTAATATCAAAAATATTTAAACATGTTTTTTAACCCTCCATTTGCTTTAAAGATATCAGAGAATCTTTAATAAAAAAAGTCTTAAAATGCCTAAAACATATGATAAACTCCTATACAAAAGAGGCAATGTACAACAGCGCACGCATTCTTCTTAAAGAATTGTGCTGTAAAGTAAATCAAAAAGAAGAAAAACAAAGGTGAACATTCTTGATAATAATCCTACTGTAATCCTTTATAATCCTGAAATTATTAAAATCACCAAATATAGAAACAGTAACGATCTGTGAAAGACGTCCAAAAAATCCTGTTTGAGATTGAAAACAATTGTCTTCTTTAGAAAATCTGATAAACACACACCTGCACAGTAGTTTGATAGAAACACAGAGAGTTTGGTGGAATGAAAGAGTATCGGAATGGTACTCTGTATTAGCATAAACACAAACTAAATTCTTGTACTCTTACCAGGTTTGTAAACCATGTTATTGGAGCAAAACATATGAATGCCTGCTGTTTTACTTTTTTGTAATCAATTCGTAAGATAAGCACAGTGGAATCTTAATATAAGTATATTAATGTTGCATTGTACATGACATGATATTTTGAGCACATTGAGAGAAATAGTTATAGCCTTACTTTTACTGATGCATAGCCTAGCTGTAGTGCTATTGTTTGATGACAATTAAATTGACATTTTACAAGACATTTCAAAAACAGGTTGCTGAACTTTTAAGGAACTCATTGCAGATGCTCTCTGCAGTACTATATAATAGTGTGTGTATAATTAGTTTTATTTTGGTTAGAAACAAAGAAAGAAATGCAACAACCCCCCCCCCCCCCCTTTAATGACAACTTTCTCTCCTGTTCACATGCAGCTCTCACTCACACAGTCAGTTGCTCACGCTGTTTTCAGTGCTTCGCCTTCAGATACTGATGTGCTGATGCCTGCATGGCCTTACACTGAACTATAGACTTTCATTATGTTTTGCCCTTGCTGGGTGAAGCTTTTGTTTTCCTGCTTGTGCGCTACATAATGGAGAGGAATTCAGTTTAAAAAAAAAAAAAGAAACTGTCGAAATGACCTTTTCCCGGGACTCTCAGGGACTGCACTAATTGGAACATTTTAATGTTATGAACCGAGGCCAACATAATATTTCACTGTGAAACGCTAAGTTTGAACTGAAGAATAAAACAAGGCATCCCGAAACGTCTTGTTTAATATGAAATATAATATCCTAAGCGTCTCTTCATCGATCCATGTAATGTCCCCCAGGTAGAAATCCTTATAGCTTTTTATTTCACTACTTTGCCTCAAAACGGTACAAGATCAATACAGGGAAAGGAAAATAAACGGCATGCTTCGTGGATATTATGTGTATAGTTATAATCGATTTCATCATGCAACACTATAAGAAAGGTCATACCTCAAAAACATTGAGGCTTCTCCGCAATCGTTCAATCAATACTGACATTTTATCCACAGAAATAGAGTGGGGAGACGTCGGAGCTCCTGCGCTGTGGCCAGTTAGCCGGGACTTTAACCTTTAACTGAACAAACACAAAGACAAGACTCCCACTCACCATCAAAGTCAAAGCCTACATGATCTGTGAGACGCGCTCTGACCTTCCACTGTTCATATCCGAGTCTACCTCTGCACTGGAATGATTCTTTTGTCGTGAGTCCAGCCAAACATATCCATCGTGTGAGTTATTTCATGTCAGGTCATGTCGTATGTATAAT